CAGCTAAGAGTTTGCATGCCAAAACTAAAAGAACCGTTGTGTTGCAGCTAAGACTTTCTTTGCACAACTAAATAAATAAATATTAAAAAAAAAAAAAAAAGACTCTGCGCTTCCTATGCAAGAGGCACAGGTTTGATCCCTGCTCAGGGAATAAAGATCCTACATGCCATAGAGCAAAAGATTAAATAAAATAAAGCCATTAAAAAAAAATGTAATGAGGCCTTCCCAACTGAGCCTAAAGTGGCAAAGCCTAAGCCATAGGGCTCTCCCAGGGAGGCCCAAGAAGGGAACAAAGATCCGACATATCGCAGGGGCTCTTGGGTCCTACTCCTTCAAAAATAGGAAGTGCAGGGCAGCTGAGGGGTGCCGAGGTGGAGACACCACTTGTTTGGGGCAACAGATTCAGTCCTGGAACTTCCCTGGTGGTCCATTGGTTAAGAATCCATCTTCCAATGGAGAGGATGCAGGTTCAATCCCTGGCCTCGGAACAAAGATCCTACATACCACAGGGCAACTAAACCTGCACCCTACAATTACTGAGCTTGTGTGCCACAACTAGACCCAATGCAGCCAAATAAATAAATATTGAAAAGATTCAGTCCTACCTGTCTCTTCTGATGATCTGTCCTCTCCAAGCAGATGCTTCCTTCCATAGGCAATTATGAGGGTGAATTGAGTTGATGGACAAGACTGTCCTTTGTAAACCATAAAACGCAATACGAGCCAAGATCTAAATTAAAGCCTGCTTTTACTTCTCTCCTGCTGCTCTTTCACAAATGTGCTCTCTACCCGAATCCCTGATTCAAGAACAACTGAATGCCATAGACTACAGTTTGTAAACTCAAATGACTACAGGAAGGGGTATCCCTGGTGGTCCAGTGGCTAAGACTCAGTGCTCCCAATGCAGTGGGCTCGGGTTCGATTCCTGATTGGGGAACTAGATCCTGCATGCCGCAACTAAGACCAGCCAAATAAATAAAATAAATACATATTTTTATGTATTAAAAATACATTTTTAAAAAATGATTACAGGAGTCCAACAGGTCATGTAAATGAGTAGAAAATGCCAGATGGAGAGGCATCTCTGCTTTGCCAGAGACAGCCATGACAAGTGGCAGCTGACACTGGTCAGGAGGTGCTTAAGGAGTTGGCAGGTGGGCTGAACTGAAGAGCCTGGGCTCCATTCAAATGGGCCTCTCAGCTCCTGTCAATTGTGGCTTTGTGGGAGCTCAGGTCAAGTCACCAAATCTTTGGATTTTTTTCAAGAGGCCAGAAACTTGGTTTGTTGTGTGAAATAGCCTGATTTTTACATCTTAACCAATAATTCATAACACTTGAAAATGCTGGCTGGTCTAAAAATACATGTATTGCAAAAGGCTGTTGGGAGACCAGATTCAGTACCTGGCCATCAGTTTTTAACTTCTGCAGTCAAGTCAGTGGATAAAACAAAATTCTCCACCTCAATCCTCTTATATCTAAGCTGAGAAACAGCCTTTCCCCATAGTGGAAGTCTAGTGGGGGTTCTTACCTCTAACCTGACTCAGCAAAGGGGTCTCTTGAGTCTGGGACCATAGAGGACAAGGTCTAGCAGATGAAACTGATGAAGGCCTAAGATAAACTGGTCCTCACCCCCCACCCCCAGGTCCAGTGCCCTCTGGGAATTTTGTGACCTCCCCGGAGTTGCCTGAGTTTGAGGCCCCTGAGGCCATCTTGGGCCTCAGCCAATGTCTACATCTTCACCCTTGGCCCTGTCACCCGTGAAGCCATCACCCACACTCCTGGAATATCTCTGGGTAATGCTGGAAGCCCACGGGGGGGTCCAGGTCCCCTCGGGCAGAGGCCAGGGGCACAGGCAGCCCGGCGGCAGCTCCGCCCCTGCGCACCCCCGCCCCTGGACGATGGACCCACTGGTGCTTGGCCATGGCCGACTTCTGACCGAAGCACCTGCCACACTGAGGACAGGCGTAGGGGCGCTCGCCGCTGTGGGTGCGCCGGTGGGCGGCCATCTCCGAGCTCTGCCGGAAGCAGCGCCCGCAGTCTGGGCACGCGTAGGGCTTCTCGCCGGTGTGGGTGCGCACGTGGCGCCGGAGGTCGGAGGCGTGGGCGAAGGCGCGGCCACAGTCCGGGCAGGGGAAGGGGGTCTCCCCGCTGTGGACCCGCTGGTGCTGGTAGAGGGCGGAGCTCTGGCTGAAGCAGCGGCCACAGTCTGGGCACGCGTAGGGCTTCTCGCCCGTGTGGACCCGCAGGTGGGTGGTGAGCGCCGAGCGCTGCGTGAAGGCCCGGCCGCAGTCCGGGCAGCGGTGGGGCCGTTCCCCACGGTGGATGGCCCGGTGCTTGCTCAGCGAGGACGCCTGGCTGAAGCCCTTGCCACAGTCCGGGCAGCCGAAGGGCTTCTCGCCCGTGTGGGTGTAGAGATGCTCCACCAGGGTGGAGCGCCAGGCGAAACTCTTCCCGCACACGTAGCAGCCATGCCGCCGGTCGGCTCTGGGGACCGGGGGGTGGGCAGAGAGTGGCGGGCGACCCCGGCGAGGCACCTTCGGTGGCTTCTGGCAACCGTAAGGAAAGCCAGCAGAGAGGGGTTTGAGAGCCATCAGCCCGGGAAGCTGAGCGTCCACAGAAAGGATCTTCCCCAGTGCCTCCCTCCCTCGTCTCTGTCCTTTTTCTGTCTGGTTTCTGGAACCTGCTGGGAGACAAGGGGAGACCTCAGACCTCAGCTTATCCTGGTCCTTGATGCCCACACTCACTATGGGGACAGAGAAGCCTCTTAGATACAGCTGCCTCTGGGACTCAGCTCGGTACAGGCCAGGGAAGTTAGAAGTTACACTTTACCCTCAGTAGCAGGGGACAGAAAGAAAAACTTGTAGAGACAAAAAGAGAAGGAAGGACAGGGGCACGGTACATTCTGGGGGCTGGGGAAATGGGGGTTGGGAGGACAACAATTAAGCTAGATCACAGAGCATTAGTGGATGTAAGTATGCAGCCAGCAGCAGGAACAGCACAGAGAGGCATGAAGGGGGCGGCCACTGCCAAGTTCACAGGGGCTGGGCACAAGTGCAACAGGAGGACAGGATGAACCAGAGGAACAAAACAGTACCAGCCAAGAGAAAGGGGCTGTGATAAAAATATAACAAAAACAAAGTGAACACAGGAGGTGGTGGACGAGCTAGAGAACAGGCAAACAGCAGGTGGGGTGATGTGGCGCTCAGAGGAACTTAGAGACCAGCTAGAGGTCAGAGGCTCAGGTTTGGAGGAGCTGGGGAGTGGAGAGGCAGGGATGCCTGGGTCACACTCTCGGGCCCTTTCTAGGCTGAATCCAGAAGCTAGGCAGGGATCAGGCATAATAATAACCTTAGCTGGGAAAGCAATTCAGGCAGGAAACTGATGAGCAGGTAAGGAGTTAGCAGAGGGTAACATGATGGGTAGGACCCAGAGGAAGTCCCCAGGGGACAAAGTCCCCACTGCTTCACCTGTGTCTGCTTCTGTAAGACACTCTCCCATCTCAGGCGGCCCGGCATCTGGACCCCACAGTTCTGCCTCTTCCTCCACCCAGGAGATGAGGGCTGGCTTGGTGCCTCGGAAGCCTGGAGGGAAGGGGGAGAGAACGCAAAGCCCACGCTGCGGGGGAGGCCGCCGCCCACGGTCCCGGCTTCCTGGGGCCTCCCATTCCACGTGCAGGATCCAGAGGCTGGGCGGGGTGGACTGGGGTGTGAGCACAGGCGAGCAGGTGGGGCCTCACCGAGCGCGCCCAGGTGGCCATAGGTCTCCCGCATCACGTCCCGGTACAGGGCCCTCTGCGCGGGCCGCAGACACGCCCACTCCTCCGGGGAGAAGTACACGGCCACGTCCGCGAAGCTCACGGGCTCGGATGTCCCCCCCTGGGGCCCGACCTCGTTAGGTTCCCGCGCGGGGAGCGGGGCCGGGGGCGGCGCCATTGTAAATGCCACCCTGGCGACGGGCCGGCGCCACCCCTACCCGCCGGGGTCCGCGGAGCCTCGGAGATCCAGAACGCTCCCCGGCCGGGGTCAAGAGTCGGGGCGCGGTCGGGAGGCCAGGAGAGCAGGAACGGCCCCTCGAGGGTCCACGGGGGTGGCTGAACACTGAGGGCAGGTGGCTGAAGGCGCTCTCCTAAGAGATGGCGGCCACGCGGACCCATGCATTTCGCTCCCGCGCCATCGTGCCCGGATGACGCCACCCGGCTGTCTCCAGGTGGCTTTGTCTTCGAGCCCTCAGCCAACATGGCCGCGGCGGCTACAGGCGCCCGGGAAGGCGCAGCCACCGGCCCGGGCGGGGGGGCCGGCGTATCGCTGGGTGACCTCACGCTTCCCCCAGTGTTGAGGGTAAAAGAATGGAGCGGGTGAAAGAAACTTGATCGAGCTATTGAAATTCTGGGAACTTCAGTTTCAGGAGATCGTGGGGGCAGCCGGGGGAGGGTAAGATGAGGTCTGAGAAAGGTGGGAAGGACCCCCTTTCTGTAAGCTTACCCCCTCCCCACATACCCTTCAGGACGCCTCCTGAACATCCATTTAGCTTTAGCTCAAGGCGAGTTCCTTGAATTCCTGGTCCCAGAGCCACTTGCCACCGTGCCCTGGGATGGATGGCCCATGAACACCTCGGATTTTGCAGGCTCAAGCTGAACTCATCCTTTCCCCCCCCTCTGCCTGCCGCCCCTGGGGTCTTGTCTTAGCAAATGGCACCAACTCTCTTCATCATTTTTACCTCCAAGCTCTTTCACTGGACACATTTATTGATTGCCTACTCAGTGCTTCCCACACGCCTTCATAAATATACCCTGCCCTAAGAAGCCTTGATATTTTTCCTTTGGCCAGATAAATCAATCACTGCATTTTACACACTTCATGGACATGTGCTTCGCATTTGCTGGTCTGCGGGCTATTCTGGAGCTTTGGTCTGTTTGCCTCCTTCCTTCCAAAGGCATCCCTGAGACCTTCACAGGCTCCTTGTATCTGGTGGCTGCTTCTCCCCAGGGAAGCTGGGCAAGTAAAGAACTGATCTCTGAACTTCTCTGGTGACCCAGTGGCTAAGACTCTGCACTTCCAGTACAGGGGGACCCGATTTGATCCCTGATCAGTGAACTAGATCCCACAGGCTGCAACTAAATTTGCGTGCCACAACTAAAGATCCCGCTTGCTAATGAAGATCAAAGATCCTGCGTGCTGCGATTAAGACTCAGCACAGCCAAATCATCATCATCATCATCATCATCATCATCATCTCAACAGAAGAAAAGGGGAAGATATAAACTTGGGAGGGGTCAGCCTGGCCAAAGAGAGAGGCTTGTTGGAGGGTGGCTAGTAGAGGACAAGGACTAAGGGCACAGTGTTGCCTAGGGACCCTAGTCCTCCTCACCTCTCAGGCCCCCTGAAAGACAAAAAAGACAATAGAAAATTTCCATTAAGAGTGAAGGCTTTTGGTCACCTGTCAGTGCCCATCCCCATAGACCTGGAAGAGAGTCCTGGGTAGTGCTGGAAACTTGCAGGGGGGTCTGGACCCTCCTGGAGAAGAGCCTAGGGCAGAGTCTGCTCCCCTAGATGGGACCCTAAGGGCCATGGCACCAGGCTGGTGGGTCTCCTAGTGGCCTTTGGCTGCAGCACCTTCCACTGTGGGGACAGTAGTGAGTCAGCAAATAGCTTGAGAAGTATGGCACTAGGTGAAGGGTCCTCTCTAGAATGCACTGGGCCCAGACTCCCCTCGTGGTCCAGTGGTTGGGACTCCATGCTTCCACTACAGGGGATCTGGGTTCAATCCTTGGTCAGGGAACTAGATCCTACGTGCTGCAACGAAGAGTTCACATGCCACAACTGAGACCTGGCGCGGCCAAATAAAATAAATATTAAAAAAAAAAAAAAGTGCACTGGGCCAAGTTGAAGGTAAAGGTAAAGCATAATTGCATTCCAGATGGGGATGAAGGTAAATCCTCAGTGCCAGGTGTTGAAGCTGGGCACAGGCTGAGGGCCTGGGAAAACCCCGACTACGGAAGCCTTGGCCACAGGCTCAAAGACCACATCAGTGTCTCTGACTCCAGGGCCTCATGACAACTCCCAGATAGACTCCTTCTGCTGACCCCTTCCAAATGTATCACTTTTCTGAATGAGTGCTGGGAAACAGATTCAAAACTTACATTTTCCCCTGTGAACTCTCCAAGGCCTACTTATGTTCAGGCTGATAGAATCAAACTTCAGGAAGACAGAAGCATTCAGTGGGTACCCAGGACCTGGAAGCCCCCTTCTAGACTGTGTTGGCCAGTTGAGGGCTTGCAGGTCAGGGACATTCCCACCCACTCCAGGGTCAACAGAGGAGATAACCTCAACCAGAGGAGCAGCTGTTATAGGGCCCAGGGACCTGAGAGACAGATAAACTGCCTCCATCCTAAACTTTTATTTTTTGGCCATGCTGTGGGACATGCTTTGGGAGCATGAAATCTTAACCACAGAACTGCCAGGGAAGTCTCAAACTGCCTCCCTCCTAAACTTGAATTCACACATCGCCACTGACCTTTGGATGATTCATAAAGTATGACCTAATCATGGGACCACTTGGATGCCTCAGAGCCAATTAAGTGAGAAAGAGAAGGTCAAGATTGCAATCTCCAGTGGGTGTCATAAATTCAGATCAGCAAAAACTAGTAATGTCAGTGGTAAAGAACATGCAGACGGTGTTTCTTACTCAACAAACGTTTTTCCCTTCCAGGTGGAACTGGGACATTGCTTCTACTTTTCATCTTTCTGGCTTTCTTTCAGACTTCCTACTCCTGGGAATCCTGAGTATCTGTACCCCACAGCTGGGTCTCCTGTTTCACCCATTTGATGAGGGCTGGTTTGGGGTCTGGCAAAATTGGGGACCCCTGGTGGCTCAGATGGTAAAGAATCTGCCAGAAATAATGTGGGATATGAGAGTTCAATCTCTGGGTCAAGAAGATGCCCTGGAGAAGGGAGTGGCAACCCATTCTGGTATTCTTGCCTGGAGAATTCCATGGACAGAGGAGCCTTAGTGGTTAAGAATCTGCCTTGCAATGCAGGGGACTCAGGTTTAATCGCTGGTTGGAGAACTAAGGTCCCACAAGCCTTGAAGCAACTAAGCCCCCTGAGTCACAACCACTGAGCCTGTGAGCTACAACTGGAGTCCATGTGATCCCTTTGCCAAAACTAAGACCCAGAGCACCCAAATAAAATAAACATTTAAAAGAGAGAGAGAGGGAGTGCACTGGGCCAAGTTGTAGGTAAAGGCAAACCGTGATTGCACTCAGTGGCGTGGGGATGAAGGTGCATTTCATTCATTTAATGAAAATATATTGGGCACCTTGGCTTCCACGGTGGCTCAGACAGTAAAGAATACGCCTGCAAAGTGGGAGACCTGGGTTCAATCCCTGGTTTGGGAAGATCCCCTGGAGGAGGGCACAGCACGTTGGTCCAGTATTCTTGCCTGGAGAATCTCCATGGACAGAGGAGCCTGTCAGGCTACAGTCCATGAGGTCACAAAAAGTCAGACACGACTGAGCGACTAAGCACACAGCACACGGGGCACCTCATATATGCCAGGGATTGTTCTAGATGTTTTAAGAGAGATTCCAGATAGGAGCTTTGCTGGCAAAGGTGCAGACAGGACTTCTGGGCAGATTGTGCTCAGGGCTAGGGATGGACACAGAGCCGCAGTTTGGAGACTTCCAGTACAGGCCAGAAGAGCTCCAGAAGAAATTTCTTTACCCTCTTTCTTTACTTCTTTTTTTATAAATTTGTATTGGGAGGATAGTTGATTGACAGTGTTGTGTTAGTTTCAGGTGTACAGCAAAGTGAATCAGTTACATATACGTTGATTCTTTTTTAGATTCTTTTCTCATATAGATCATTAGAGTATTGAGTAGAGTTCCCTATGCTCTGTAGTAGGTCCCTATTAGTTATCTATTTTATTCATTTTTTACTTTTTATTTCTGAATTGGTTGTGTTGCATCTTTGTTGCTGTGAGGGCTTTTCTCCAGTTTCGGTGAGTGGTGGTTACTCTAGTTGCAGTGCCAGGGCCTCTAAGTGTGGTGGCCTCTCTTTGCAGAGCACAAGCTCTAGAGCGTGCAGGCTTCAGTAATTGTGACATCTGTGCTTACTTGCTCCTTGGCACGTGGGATCTCCCTAGACCAGGACTGAACTCATGTCTCCCGCATTGGCAGGCAGATTCTTTACCACTGAGCCACCAGGGAAGCTCCAGTTATCTATTTAATATATAGCAGTGTGTATGTGTCCCAATTCATCCCTCTCCCAAGAAACTTCTTGAAGATGGCAGTGAAGGGTGTGAGAGTTGGAGGGCAGGGTGTAACAGAGCAGAATAGCAAGAACAAAGACTCAAGTAAGCTAGAAGCATGTCCAAAGAATGAAGATTCTGCTTGGCAGGAGCCAATGAGATGGCGCGCAGGTAGAGACAGAGGAAGAGGTTAGAGTGCTATGGGCCTTGAAGGCCGGTACAGGTTCTCTAGTTTTTGCACAAGTCTTGGGGAGCCAGTGCGGGTATCTGACAGTGGAGTTTAAGTCATTAATTTCAGTCAGGCTGATCTGGCGAGGATCCCGGGAACCAATTATCATGAGGCAGATGCGGGACGCTGGCGTCACCGTACGCGCCCAGGTGGAGGTTTTTCACCGCAGACACCCCACTCCTCGGGGAAGAAATATAGGGCCACTTTGACGATGCCTGCGGCCTTCTCCCACCTTCTTCCCGCCGGGTCTTCACCGACACCGCTGGGAGCCCAGATCGGGAGCCGGGGGTGGAGTCATACGGCCACCCACACTTCTCCCGGGAGAGACTCTAGCGACTCAGCCTCCGGTGCAGGGCGGGGGTGGGCCCCTTCGGGCCCAGGCGCCCGGAAGTAGCTTGTGGTGGGGCCCCTCTAGGACGGCGGGAAACGGCCCGTTAAGCGAACTCATTGGTCCGT